GCCAGCCAGCCCAACGGAACCGCCAGCCAGCCAGACAGAACGATCAGCCAGCCCCACTGAACGATCAGCCAGCCCCACTGAACGATCAGCCAGCCCCACTGAACGATCAGCCAGCCCCACCGAACGAGAATGAACATAGGGAATCTATGATCCAGCAACTGGCTGCCCTAGGGAATCCTTTTGTGGATGTACCAGATCCCGAGGGCAACCCATTTATCGGGCTAGCAGCAGCCCACGTACAGCCATCGATCCAGCGCCAAATTGTGCAGGCACATCCTTGGATCCATCAGTTAATTGTCCCGGGAATCTTTTGGATCGATCCACCAGGAGCCCTGGGTAACCGATGGATCGAGCAACCAGATGACTTGGCTAGCCGATGGCTTGAGCAACCCGATGACCCAATTAGCCGGTGGATCGAGCAACCAGATAACCAGGGACGTCCCCAGTTCTATCAGCCCACTGCCCAGGGACAACCGGCGAACCAGGAGGCAGCTGCCCAGGGAAGGCCAGAGCGTCAGTAATCGGGATTCGTAGATCGGACAAACACCGATCTAGGCAACTATCCGTTTATTCGTTTATTTTATAAACTTAAAAATAAACTTCCTAATATATAAATAGATTTGAGTTTTTCTTTAAACTAACATTTGTTGGTTTTTAAGTCTCTCTTTTAGGGATATTATTATTATATTATATTAAATTAATAATGTTAAAAAATTATTCATTTTAAATGTCCTTTTGGATCTCTCAAACTATTTAAAGTTTAGAAATAATTATCAAATATATTTTCACGATTACAGGGTACTGATACGGTCCGTTGGTTGGCAAAATAAAATCCCTTTTTTGTTGGCCAGTTTCATAACTCTCTCAATATGTGGCTGGGTGCTCGGAGAGGCGCCGCCTGGCAGACCATGTACAGACATCTGTCGGTTGGTTGGTCATTTCCCGGCTCCGCCAGCACCGCGATGGCCCTGATTTCTATTTTTTTTTTTCTCAGTGTTGGTCCTGCAATTACTTTGTGGCCAAAGCCAAAAACTAAATGTGAACGCGACGCAGCTGCCGCTAGCATAAAGTAATCAAAAAAGTTTTGCTTTATTGTGGGGCAGCAGCCCACTCATCATCATCACCATTGAAGCTGCAGAAATGCCATAGCTTTCTAGATCTTTAAATATACTATATAGAATATATATATATATATATAGTATTGGTAGAAAATGCAACCTTGAGCCAGCTAAATTCGGTACGAATGCAATAAAAAATTGATAAGTTTTGTTCACCGATTTCTGGTTTTGTCTAAGTTTTCCTTTTGGCTGCTAAACTTAATTGTAGTCTGACTGGCAGCGAGGAGGTGGAAAATAGAAAAGCTGGAAAAGCTAAAGCCAAGGCGACGTATAGAGTGCCAGGGCAATTTGGTATTATTCGCACGTAATTCGACGAAATTTTAATAATCCAGCTACGAAGGTAATAAAGAACTTTTGGACATGTGGGGCTGAAGGCCGTTTCCTGTCTCACGTGTGCTCTTTTATAGGGTAGCGGGGTATGCTGGGCGAGTTTGATGGTTGTTTTTTTTTAGATTTATTTAAATATATTTATGTAATTATATCTTATCTTAACTAAATATGATTTTTAAGGTTTTTTCAAGGTGAATTTTAAGATGAAAAGTTCTTTACTTTCTAGATTTTGTTTAATATTTGTGATATTTTTCTGGAAATATTTTTTCATAATTTGATATTTTTACAACCGTTTTTCTTAAGTTTATTAATTGTGTTTTGTCCTTTCCATCCCTTAATTATAATTTATTTTAAGTTATAAATTAATATTAAAAATGCATTTTCTGGATTATTCTTGCTTCTCCTCTTTCCCTTCCCTTATTCGAGGGTATAACCAATTCTAATCTCGATCTTTTCAAGAACCTGACACCTGCGGGTCACTCCGCCTTCCACCCACTCACCCATTGGCCCACTATTGAACAACTTGATTGGGCTTTTGACTTGATTTCGCATTGATTGCAATTGCAATTTTAGCCTTTGGAGGAGTAGAGGGCGCGGGAAATTAATTAAAATTACTTACCAACTGGCAAACATTTCACTTGATTTCTCTATTATTGGGCGCCAATTAATTTGCTTAAATTTTCGTGCCAAACAAAACACGAGCAATGCTAAAAATTTAATTAAAATTGAGTAAACAAACAAACATTCGATGGCCAGCTAGTTAGTTCAGTTCAGTTCAGTTTGGTGGCAGTCAGTTTTTTTTTTGGGGGAGAGATGAGGTAGTTCTTCAGAACTCATCCTCCACAAGGAACGAGTGCAGTGCAAACACATGACGCATACGCCGTGGCGGCCCAAAAAAGCGAATTTTCATTTGTGGCAAATGGCAGCAAACTAAATTGCTCAAAAGAGCCAACAGGGGCACTCAAACAAACACACTTGCACACTCTAATACACACACACACACATTCGCACATGGAAAAGTTGAAAGCGGTTCTGGCCAAGATTCGAGACCAGAATCTCGGCACTCCACTCGACACCTCCCCGGACCCTGGATCGTCCACTTCCTTGGTCTTATTAAAAGTTGCTGGCATTCTTGTGTTTACCTAGCACAAATGTCAAATCAGATGGAAAAATGCGCACGAAATTCAGGCAGAACGGAAGCCAGGACTCTGGACACTCGACGGTGGACTGCGGACTCTAAGCCCAGGAAGCCAGGACTCTGGACTCTGGACTCGGGTTGCATCTGCCAGGTACTTTTGCATTTGCAAGATGCACGAAGATGGCGAAAAGATTCTTAAACAGCAGGGGTAACCGTTTAATGGGGCTCTGCTTTGATTTCCAAAATATTTTTTAGCATTTTAATCTTATTATTATACTAAAGAGCTGACCAATAGTTAGCCAATGGGAAAGTTAGTTATTTTTAAACGAAATTTAATGGTAATTTATTATGTTTTTATTTGAAAAAAAGCCTGCAAGTTCGTGCTTGAAAGTAATACTATAAAAACTTACTTTTAAATTGTATGTTTATAGCTAAAATTAAATACATTATAATTTGCTTAGCTGCCTCGAGTACTTTGCAGGCAACTTCGAGGCAGCTATCTTAAAAATGCAGCTATCTTAATTTTAATTTTTGAACAAAAAAAAAAGTTTACTTTTAGCTCAAATAAAGTACATATAAGTTTTGTATCTTTTTTAGCCAAATTATATTTTCATTTCAATGTCTAAATTTTTCATTTCCAATTCATTCATTTTCATTGTTAATTCTTAAAATAGTCTGTTATTATTTTTGCCATACTGCATACAAATTATTTAAGAAAATTTGCTTCGTTCTCAATAGATGGCGCAGCTAACTTACATGATTTTCATAGAAAACCATAAAATATTCAGCCGATATGAGGCGCTTAAGTGCAGAAGGCTGCTAAGTTGGGTGCACCAAACGTAATTATTTTCATACTAAAGTGGCCATGATGCAGAAAAATGAAAATATCAGGCAGCTATCTTGACGATGCAGCTAAGTATCGAGGCAGCTAAGCAAATTTTACTGTATATAAAAATCCTTATTGATATAATTATATAAATTGGTCATTTTTAAAGTTAAACATAAAAAGGTTGTTAAGATAAAATGTTTAAAAATTGATGAATGATATTTTTATTGTATCTAAAAACAGATTTGGTGCCTTTGGAAATGTCAGTAAACAATTTTAAAAGTATTTTTTCAATTATTTTACAACTTAAATCTTAATTAACCAGTTAAATTATTAATCAGTTTAAGCTTTTATACATAAATTAAATTTTAAAATATATCAACTAATTTAAGGAAAGGAGTAACTAGCTACTAAGGCCATCGACTCAACCAGTTAAGTTAGTAAGCTTTAATTTTCCACAATTCTTAAATCAAATCATAAAAATACCTAAAAACCTCAACTCAATACAATATTCTACTTCAAAATATAGTTTTAGAAAACCAATTAGTTACAATATTTAACATATATAAATCCAGCAAACTAATACATAGATTTGATTCCCAATTTAAGGACATTTTATTGAGAGGCCATCCAGCGAATCCTTAGAATTTGATCCTTTGTTTTGTAACTCCCCTTCGGCTGGCAGTCAATAAAATCAACTCTTCAATGGCACTTGCCGACATTCCATTTCCGACTAACTACGCTGGGATTCAACGAACTCTACGCCAGAGAAACCCAAGCCCCAACCTTCGTCCTTGTGTGTTTTTGTGTTCCGCCTTCCAAGGCAGCCACGTGTTTCCAGTTCGGTCGACTGGAATGTAAACATACAAAACGTAAACAAGACTCAGTGCCAAGCCGGCTAATGGAAATCCACCATGAGGTGGCCAAGAGAATCGTTTTTCAGTTTCACGAATCCTTCGTAGTCGTTCGGCCAGAGTCCTTTCGGGCTCTCGGGATGCCTTCGGCCAAGGAATTGGCAAAGGGGCGCAGGCGCCGGTGGCCAGTTTTGTAAACAGAATGCGAGGCCAAGGGCCGCCGGACTGCTCCACAGCCAACGGCAGTCCTGATGGATCCGATTCCCAGCCGAAGGACCCTTCGGCTGCTTTCTGGCCATCGGAGCCGAGGGCCGCCAGTCCATGGGAGTTCAGGACTCGAGTTTGTTGTGGCGTCTTCCTCAGCCGCGCAACAGTTTTGTTTGAAGCGTCAACACGTGCGGTAGTCAGTCGTCCTTGGTCCTGCTTTCCGATTTCTGTCTTACTTTCATAAAAAGGACTCGTTGCCGTTGCTTGTTTCGCGTAGCGGGAAAATACAAAAAAAAAAAATATACACATAGTTATTGCCAAGTGCACTTCAGCAATCGAAACGAATCGAATTGAATACCTTTTCTGTAGAGACCGTCTCGAGTGTGGCCCCCTTTTTCGGAAATACTTAAAGTAAAAGTTGAAAAGTAGAAAAAAAAAACCAAACATTTAACCGATTTATTAATGATTTTTTGTTGTTTTTGTTGCGTGCCGGCACTAATAGAAGAAGAGAAATAAAGAAAAGAAAATAGAAAGAAAGAAAGGCCAAGGAGAAGAGCCAGTCGGGCGGCTGAATTAATCAAATTAAAAGGTAAAGCCAATGAAATTCCTCGGCCAACTAATGAGAGGCCCCACAAAATAGCAAACGGGGGAGGACTTTTGTCAAAAAACAAATTGCAACCGCAACCGAATCAAAGCGAAGCCAAAAGCCAAAAGCCAAAAGCCGAACGAAATACAAAATAAAAAGGCCCACCAAGAATCAACGTAATTTGTGCTCATTATAATCAAACAGGCAAAACAAACTCGCATGCCTTTTCCGTTGCCGTTGCCTGGTAATTTTCATTAGCCAACTTCCCGCCCACTTTACTAGCAGTAACATGAAATATGGGGTACGGCTGTATAGCGATTTTTTTGCCAATGCCAGGAAGTTGAAGACAAAGCCAAACCTTTGTCAACTAATCGTTTCTCGATTGCATTTTGAAATGGCAACTTCGAGTGGCCGGAAACGGAAGTGCAGTCACCCAACCAGCCAGGGGAATCCCCGAAGATTTCCGCCTGTCCACAGTGTCACTATTAAGTGGAGTGCATTTCTCAAGAGCTCCACCAGCTCCAGGTTGACATTCTTTTTCATGCTCTCAAATATTTTCACATATTTTGCATAAGAAGTTTGTCTATGGAAAAAGTCGAGCTTAGTTGGGGAAAACAAATTGGAAAAACTGTTAAATCCGAAACTGTGTGTTTTTAACGGGTTTGGCTTGTGTTTTGAGTGAAGTTTAAAAATATTTGTAAATCAAAGAAGTTATATTTATTTTTGTTATTGATTGGTTTGAGTGTAAGAATCATTTTTATGTGACGTTTTTCTTAATTTGTAGGTTTTTGTTTTACTAAATTCTAAATAATTTTGTTCCTGTGATAACAAAATAAATTTGGTTCTTATCTTAAGGACACTAAAACATATTTTTTAAGGCTTTTATTTATTTATTTATCATTTTTTAGATCTATTTTATTCATAGTTTTAGTTTTATTTTACATTTCTTGGTAATAATTAGTAAAAAAAAAGGAGCAAAAGTAATAACCAAAAAGACTAATATTTTAAAAATAAAAAACAAATTTAAAATAATATTTAGAAAATCTAATAAATGATTTTTCATTAACAATATAAGAAATGTCCTCTTTACACCTTAAAATTAACCCTGTCCAAGGCCGTTGTTTATTTTCACTTCCATTTTGCCTAATCAAATTCCGACAAGTGCATCTTGATGGCCTTCTGCCACTTGAGGGTTAATTTAACAATTATAAAATATAAATGAGTGCCTTAATTACGAGAGCGATCGTAGTTTTTGATAAGCAGCAAGTGCCGAGTTTTCCGTTGATGGCCATAATTGAGGCAGATTAGTTTGCGCGTTGCGATTGTAATCAATCGGAAATGTGAAATGGGAAATGGGAGGCGGCGGTGACTGCTCTTTATGCGAATATTTATGGCAAATATATTCCATCAAATTTTCATCAATCAAATGGCCAATTTTTGAGCAAACAACAGTCTCGTTTTCCTCACACACACACACACACACAGCATAATTTTTGGGGCACAACACACAGGAAGCTGAAACAAAACGAAAACGAAACGAAAAAATTGCACAAATATTTGCCAACAATTTCGCCGAACGGCGTCGCCATCAACATCATCAGGCTGCCGACAATAAAATCAAGCTGGCAATTTATTTGCCATTTTTTCCATGTTTTCCATGCAGCTCACACTCTCAAAATAGCCAAACGAAATCAAAACGAAATTAATAAAAAGAATTTTCATAAAAATTTGGCTCGCACATGTAGAACGGGTTTCCTCTTCCATTCCTCGTTCTCTTTTTTCCTTCCGTTGAGCTGAGCTTTTGTCTGTCGTCGGAGTCGGCAATCAAGTTGCATTCAGCATTCAGGGGCACTGGCTTAGAGTCCTTTTGTCCTGGCTGAGCTCCTCGAAAAATACTGCATTAGGTTGCCATTTCTGAGCGTCAATTCATTGAGTTTATTTTCTAGTTTTTCCAAAGCTAATGTCACTGAGTTGTCTGTTTTTTGTGTGAGTGATTTTTGTTTTTAATTTTGGGGGAGCTTGGCATTCTAATTGTTGGTAAAAACTTAAATTATTTTTATTTTTGGTAGTTAAACGTTTTGAGGTGGTTTTAGTTTGGGTAAGAGATGGGCAAAGTTAAGATTTTAAATGATATTTGAAGGCTGATTTTACGGCAAGGGAATTAAGTTATTAATTAAAAAGCACATTAAATGTTCTTAATAAGGGTATTTATTATTTATTTAAAAGCTTTCTTTTAAGTGATATAAATTATTAAATTAAAAACGAAGTATTTGCAGGTTTAACTGTGGGATTTTCATTAAGAAATAATATTAATGCTAAACATCACTAAATGGTATCTGAAAGGAGTATTAATATTTCATATTTTTAAAATATTTTCGACTTAATAGAAGTGACTTCCTCATAATGTCTTTCGACAATGGAATAACAACAAAACAAAGCAATATTTGTGCCAAAGAAGAGAATAATATTTTCTGAACTTAACTCAAAGTTAGCAGAAAATTAGTAGAGTAAAATTAACAAATTTAGAACCCTTTCAAAGTAGTTTTAGATATAAAGGAATACTTACAAAGTTCAATTTGAATGCAAAAACTAGTTTTTAATATTGCCTGCAAGTCCTTTATAGTATTGTTTTCCAGTTTAATTTCATAAGAGAAGAAAATTTAGAAATATTATTAATTTGTAAAATTATAACTCATAGAGAAGCATTCCATAAACCCAAACAGAAAATTCAAACTGAAATATAAATTAATCAAATTAAATTTTGCAGCCGCAGAAGGGCTGACATTGATTTGGAGTTGGTTTATGTTTTGGCCCTCCGTGATTTTAGGTTGATATTACAAATGTACTTCTATGGGAAATGGCAAATGGGAAATGGGAAATGGCGAATGGCACCTTCGGCACTTTGTCCTCTTTTTGGCCATTTGCGTGTTCATGACGCAACATTTGCGGTTGTTTATGTTTTTGAGGTCGCATATCGTGGTTGGCCAATTGTTATGCGCATTTCGTTTAATTGCACACACTCACACTAGCACACTAGCACACACACCCTCACCCTCACCCACACACACTCTCATACACGCCGATTGCTGGCAGTTTTGTGGTGACATCGTCATCGTCCTGGTCGTCATCGTCAACGTCCTCGTCCGTTTAGGTGTTAATATTTCAATTAGCAGTCGTTTAGGTTTACGTATCGCCAGGAATTTCCCGTAATGCTTCACGCAACTGTTACGCCAAAAACTCGTAACGCACACGCCATGTATGTGGCGCTCTCTATGTGTTATTTCTTTTTTTTTTTTTTTTTGATTTTTGTATATAAGAAGGGGTCCCTTGATTTTGACTAAGTTTTTCCTGATTTTACTGCCCAGATTGTTAGGGATTTTATGTTTTGTGCATCATCTGGGCGATCTGTGGCCAAGTGGTAAATCCCCCCGCCCAAAGCCCAAAGGCGAAGTCGGCGAAGCCAATAAACTAGTTTGATCAACTTGGCCGCAAAGTGAAGTTCTAAGGCTGCCGTTGCAAAAAGTAATTAGTTGAGGAAATCTGGAAAAACCAAGTTGTAAAGGATTTCGTTTGGAAAGTTCAGCTAGGAATTTGCTGGGCGTGGTTTTTTTTTTCCAAAATAATTGTTGAGTTCTTAAATGATAAAAAAAAGAGGTTAGAAAAAGATTTAAGGACTCAAAAACAAACCAAAACTAGAAAAACTGTGATTAAAAAATGTGGAAAATTATTACAACAACTCAACATATTGAGAGATTGAAAAGAACATGATGGATGTAGGATAAATAAGAGGAAAGTTTAAGATTTAATCCATCTCAACAAACTATCATCTCGAACAGCTCCCTTTTGAGAATAGTTTACTCCTAACTCTCTGCCAAAAAACAACAAAGATTAAGCCAGAAATGCAAAAGGTATTCGGAATTTACTCCTGTAATCGCTTTTTGCAACTAAAACGACGATCTCTTTGGGCCGCTCTTGCGGACAATGGCCTTCTGGTCGACTAATTTGCAAATAAATTGATTCCAAACTGAAATAATTGCGTGCGGTGCGGGCGAGCAAATAAATAAAATGAAATGCAATGCAAAATGAAATAAAGCACTTATTTGATCCCTCAAGGAAATCGGCGTACATGTGTTTGTGTATATATATATATATACTATATAGTGATATATATATATAGGTATGGTAGATTTTAAAACATTTGCTTATCATTTTTATTATGAGTTGTAGGCGGCGGAGGCTGAAAAACTTTTCAATAATGAATATGCAACAGTAAATGGCCAGCGCGAGGTGGTTTCACTGTGTGTTTTTTGAACATTTTAATATGCATGGCAGGGCCCGACACATTGCGAAAATGAAAAGAACAAAAGCGGCCTAAAGGGGGTGGGGGTGGTGGTGGTGGGTTGGGGAAAAACCAAAGGGGGAAAAGAAAAACCGCCGGCGGCAAACGAAATAAATTTGTCAGCCATTGCAATATTCTTCTTCGCGGGCCGCAAATGAAACTGGAATGGAATGGCTCTGGACCTGGTCAATAAATAAATACGCAAAAGTAAAATATATATCTATATATATATAGAGAGAGAAAGAGAGAGAGAGAGAGAGAGAGGGAGGTAGAGAGTGGCAGGGATATATGTATAGGCAGGCAGATGAAAATCCAACGCATACAAGGCTGCAATTGTGCATGAAAAATATGAAAAGACATTTTCGGTTAACGTATCGCCCACTCGCTTTCCCGCCGGCATCTCCTCCGCTTTGCCCCTTTTTGCCTTTTTGCCAAGCTGACAATAAATGTCATTTAGTTGGGGGGAGAAGGAAGGGTTCCGAGATCCCAGCTTCCATGCCACCACACAGTTACCCAGCTGCTCAGCTGCTCAGCTGCTCAGCTGCATGGCAATGCCAATAAAATTTATTTAAAGCAAAAGCAAATTAAGGCTCCCATGGCCTGCGAATGATTTGTGTCCTGCGACCAGGACCTGCGGCTAATCGGACACATGCAGATACCGATACCGATACCGATACCGGTATACCGATATCCCTGGGGATTAAGTACCATTTACAAGTTAAGCCCAATTGTCAGTAGTCCGAAATGAAATGTTTTCAATAATTTAGGGCTTTCGTCGTCATGTTTGTGCACTTGCCCCGATAAAGGTCACCAAAATATCGATAAAGCAAACTTAAAGAGCAACCAATTAGGCCAGGCTTAAAGACCAGCAAAAGGCGATGCATCTCGGGAAAACATCTCAATTATTTATGGAATAAATGCAAGCACAATACTCTGCTTAAATTCTGGATTCTGGATTTTAAATTCGCTTCGTTTCGTTTCGTTTCGTTTCTCGATGGGACAAAAGCGACTTATTAAAATTCAAATAAAATGTGAGTGCCCAATGTGTAAACTGTATGACAAATGCCTGAAATGCGAGATAAGTCTGCATTCAAATTGCATAATCTGCCGGCATTGTTGCCGGCTTCCTTGTGCCTTCAGTGTCTTCATGTCTTTCCAGCCAAGTTAATTGAGAAGTGCAGTTTAATTTTTAGCCTACATGAAGTGCCCACAAAAGTTGGCAAATGAATTTCACTTATCGTAACGGCCAGATCAAATGGAATGCAGAGTCTGCCTGGTTTTTTCTTCTAATTTGAGAGTCTAAGAAAACTATTTACTCAGAAAGTTGTTTGATAAATATATTTATTTTTTGGATTTTTGCCAATTCAGCTTTCTTTTTTTGTCTGTTTGTTTATCAAAGTAAGCATTGCTAAGATGTTTGTTATGGCTAAAAATTGTGTTTCCTGGCAAAAGGCTTACAGTTTTTTGTTCTTAATTTAAGATATATTCCTAACTTGGCTTTCATTATTTGGAAGTTGTTTTGATTGGCTTGAAAGTTTAATCAAATTAAATAACCAACCTTTCTTATAAACAAAATATTTAAAATATTTTCTTTGTAAGCTTTTGCCACTTCCTAGAAGCAATCTGCCATAAAACCCTTTCAGACAAATTGAAAATATTTTACTTTTTAGAACTAACTTTAAAGGTTGCCTTTTTAGTAAAGAAAAAGTGTCTCTGTGCTGGTAAATTTGACAGATATGCCATATTTAATAAAGACTCTTAGTTTCTAACCATCCTTAATCGTTGATCAAATCTTAGCTTTTCATGTAAATTCCTTCTTAAAGTTAAGAAATAATACTCCCAATTCTTTAAAATTACCTTTTTAGTTTTATAAACCTTTTTCACATCTTTAAAAACCCAAAACATCTTAAGTACTTCAAATATTTAACAAGAATTCTTCGCCTTTTAAACATTTAAGTTTTTTTGAAATTTCTTGTCCCTGCTTGGATGGCTTCATTAGCTTCGATCTAGTATTAACTTGGGGCCCATATGCAAACATGCGGAAAGAGCGGAGGGGGAAATTTTCAATTACGCCCGTGACATGACATAAAACGTAAATTAAGGCAGGAACGTCTAAAAGCCCGGTCAACAGAGGAGGGCAAGGGGCTATAACGCTTGATTTGCTCTGACATAAGTGGAGGTCCTGTTTGGAGTTGTTGGACTAGCTGGCTGGCTGGCTGACTGGCTGACTGGTCGCCTTATTGTTACGCCTACAACGAAGCCATTCCGGCATTCCTGGCATTCAACATTCGCCATTTGCTGCTCGAGGTTTTCCCAGCCATGTCTATGTGGAAATGTGGCCATGTGGCTATATGTGTGTGTGTGTGTTGGCCAACAGCGACGAGTGCATGTTAAGTGCCTTATTATCCTGTTTATGTAACCGTGCAGTTTTGTCCGGGAGAAAGAGCGGTCACATGTCCCGCTATCCCGCTGTCCTGCTGTCCTGCTTTGCCCCTCCCTTGTTGTTTTCCATTTTCATGTTTTATTCAGGCCTAGTTTACAAATTGTCGCAACGGCTCTGTGGAACGTGGCTAGCACGAAATGAATATTTTGAATACAAATAACTTAAAGCGGACATTTGGACTAGGACTTAGGACTTGGGACTTAGACTTGGACTTGGACCAGGCCAAATTGCTCAATTCACCAAAAACAAAAACAAAAAAAAAAAAAGAGGAGAAGAAGAAGGAACTTGTTGCCTTGTTTTTTCCGGCCAAAAGTGGACTTTTCGAGTAAATAATTCCGGTGCCAGAATAGTTTCAAGTTCACTTTCGGCTCAAGGAGCAACTTCAAGCCAAACCAAAATTGAGGTTTCCGAAAATTTGTTTCTGTTTCTGTTTCTGTTTCTGTCTCTGTCTCTGTTCCTGGTCTCAGTCTAAGCTTAATTAAAGTGTGTGCTTTTTACACTTTTAGCCCCCCCAAAAAAAAAGAACAAATAAAAGGAAAACAAGTTAAGCTCAGGCTAATAAAACTAACCGACATTTGAGATTTATGGTTAGGGTTAGGGAAAGTTAGTTAGACTTTAAGTTAAAGAAGATTTCTAAGGTAATTTCTCCAAGCTCAATGATTCTGCAATGCAAGTTTGATTACAAATGCCTCTCAGCTTATAGGTTTCCATGTAAATAAGTCTTAATAAGCAAAAGGAGTTCAGTTTTTGTGGAAAACTTAAAACTACGAATGGATGTTGTTGTGGAAACTTCACTTCGAGTTGAGAATAAAAGATTTAATATTCATAGCCGGGCTGGTTATTTATGAATGCTGAATCGGATTAGAGATGTGAATAACAAGTTATTGAGGGAAATGCTGGTTTCTTTTACGGAAATTCTTAATCGCTGATCGATGGCGGTCCTCACCTTTTCCCACTTCGATTAGCAGCTGCTGTAAAGTTTTCCCCGACCAAGTTTCCAGGGCCGCACTTTCTGCTCCTCCCCCCCGTACTTTTTCCATACTAGTCAGCTCCAGTGTATTTATCATGATTTAGATCCGGACGTAGAGGAACTCCGGAGTTGCTATACTACGGCCATTGGCATTTGCTTGCCTTCGCTTTCTACTTCTTTCTCCTGCTTTCTCTTGAGCACTTTAGTTCAGGCTAATTACAAAAAGTGAAAACACAATTCATTTTGCTTGTGGTTTATGCGTTTTCCTTGCTGCCCCGACCCGCCCCGCCCACTTTTCCCCATTTGCAGTCGACGCCGCCTTGCAGCGTTATAAAAATGTTTATGGCTGACGTTTGTTGCCATAAAAATGCGAAGTTGTCGGGGCTACCGTTGCGAATGCGATTACTTGACGACCAGAAAGGTCACTCAGCCGTGGCCATTGTTGTTGTTTTCGTTTCTTCTTCTTCTTGTTCGCCGTGTCCTTGCTGCCACACCACCCACTTAGCCCACAAGCCATCCATGTGTGTGTGTGTGTGTTGTATTTATGGCATTGTGTTTGTTAATAACATTTGCAGCGAGTGCATTCCATCTCTTACGTAATGCCCCCGAAGGGCCTGCCCCCACACCCACATCTACACCCTTTTGGCACCCTGCACTACGCTCCCTGTACTCTGCACTCTGCTCTCCTGCTCCCTGCTCTCCTGCTCCCTGCACCATTTATGGCCAATACAAGTGCTGCCGCCTGCCCTTTATAGGAGGGCGGATGAGTTGGATTCATTTCCAGCCTTAAAATTGTAATGAAAATTGATAAAAAATTTAAAATTAAAAATACAATTTAATTTTAAAACTTTAACAAAAAAAAACCTTTCAAAATGTTATAAAAATATTCTTAATTCCCTTTACTTAAGCTGATAATTTACTTCGCCGGCGATTCTCTTTCCAATATTTTCTCTTACAGGGTACGAAATACGTTCGAACCGAACTTGAGAGTGGTCTTGGCCATGTTGTCCTAATTAATTTAAGTCCCTCCCCGCAATCTAGGCACCGTTCACTCATTTTCCACCGCTCTTCTGGTTTCTTTGCAGTACTTGGCCGTGCAATTACGCAGAATGCCGTTTGCCTTTTAAGTTGCATATTGTTCGGCGATCGGAGGGAGGAGGAGTGCAAGCGGAGCGGACTGGAAAGGCGGAAAGGCGGAAAAGCGCGGAAAAACGGACGTTAAGCAGGCAAGGCAAGGCTAGGCGAGGCGAGGCGAGGCGAGGTGGAGAAGAAGTGCCACTGACAGTGGCAGTAAGTTACGGGCCAAGTTTCGCCGGAGTCGCCTTGTCGCTGGCCCAACTGGCATAACTCAGAGCTGATGAAATATGGAGCTGCTGCAGGCCCTCTGCTGTACGCTGCTCCTGCTTTTGGCCCGGATGCAAGGTGAGTTCTCCTTTGTACTCTATGCCATTCCCCCCTGGAGTCGAGTCCCTTAGTTTCCATCCTGCCATCCTGGCAACATCTCGTGACATGTCGACCCTCGCCATTTGGTTAATATTTGCCCGCTGTCAGCGCATCCGCTTTGATCTAGTCAAAAATTGAATAATTCGTACCTATTTCATCATGCTCCCCCACCAACTGGCTCTCCACCAACTGCCACGCCCCTGTTTTGGGGTCAGTGTCAACCGTGTCAACGATATGCGATATGCAAATTTTCCACATCAACCTGACACGAGCTTGCATAACTTGCAACACAGCAAGTTGGGCAAACAACAAGTAGAACAACATCAACATGAGCAGCAGCAACAGCAACAGCAATGCACTTGGGGAAAATACTATATATTATTAAGAGTTAAGTAATGATTTAAGGTTTTTTTACTTTCAGTTTTTATATTTTAAAAGGTTTTTAAACATAGTTGTCAGTCAGTCACAGAACCTAATCATAACCTCAGAGCTACTTAAATTTACTTAATATATCTACTTAAGCTAGTTTAGGTTGTAAAGATCATAACAAGATGTATTCAAAGGACATATCCTTGTGCTTAAAACTCTATAAATCTACCTTAAAAATGTTATAATCCATGTTCACTTTCATGAACTTTTTATAGAAGATAGAACTGCCCAAGTTATTCTCTAATAAAACAAGCTTACCTCTGCTCTTCCAAGGATGTCCTTTTTCATGAATTCCATTTTTAATATCCCAAATATCTTAAATCATAAGTAACTTTCCACACTTTTTCCATACAAACAGCATTGGTATGTTATAAATATTATTCGATTTTATAAGAAAAAATATAGAGCTATTTCTAAGCCAGTTTTTGACTCGCATCTTAAATTAAACGAAACCCAAAATAATTCTCTTAGAACTAAAATTGGTTTTAAACTTTCCTCAGTGTTTTAAACCCAAACTCACAGCTATTTTTCCAATTACTTAAGATATATACTTTCCCGCAGTGCAGCTGCTGGCAGTCACGTCCTGCGATAAGCTTCCTGTGCTCTTGAGTTTAGTTTCTGGGGCCTGGCGTCTTATCAATGCCACAGATCTGTCATCGTAAATTCAACATTAATTGCGGAGCTGTGGTGCCACCACCCTTGGCACAGATAATGAGCAACAGAATAAATAAATAAATTGCAGCTAGAAAGGTTAGGTTAGGGGATAGCCAGTCAGCCTCAAATTACCAGAAGCGGATGCAAGTGGCCAAAAAGTTTGCACATTAATCGAGGCTACTTAGGCCAAGAGTTGCAAAAGGAAATCAGAGGGCTTTCGGGTACCAGGGACATCTTCATTTGCATTCCAACTCGAATCGATAGATGCAAATGCATAAAACTTTTAATTCGGCCAAGAAGAGGAGGAACTAAGATTTCATTTCAAATTTGATTAAATTTCAAATCAAATAAAAGGAACGCCAATTGATGGTTAAATATTGAACTTAAAAAAGGAGAGTTGGGAGATTATTTTTAGATGTTTTCTCAAAATTAAAGTTATAAATTGTTAGTATTTTTATGAAACATATTTTATAACCATTTCTTTAAGCCTTATTTTTGATATATATAAAGCCCGTTAAAAAGCTGGCTATGACCTACAGACTCCCCCCCAACCGAGACTCATAAAAGTTGCAACTGCTAAATATTTACTTCCAGAGGCCGCCATAACTATGAGCCGACTTTAAGGCCCGCCACAGACATATACACTATATATACTGATACATAGATATATATATATATATATATATAGGTAGGTGAGGGGCTGCATTTCATTCTCGTAGAATATATAGACAAATATATAGCCGGCGGCCGCACGAAAATTCAGCACATTGAAAAAGGCACAAGAACTAGGATGGCCAAAAAAAAAAAACATATATATAGCATAAGAATATATATATATATATATATATATAGGAAAAACGAAAATATCACGAAGATGAGGAAGACGAAAAAAATGCAAAAAGCAGGAGGGAAAAAGAAATGTTCATGCAATAAATTCACGTTGAAATTTTGCAATAGTTGCGTCTGCGAGTTGCAGCAGTAAACGCTCGAGGAGAGGAACAAGAACAAGAACAAGTAGAAGCAGAATCAGAAGCGGCAGTAGGAGCGGCTTGAAGAAATAAAAGAGGGAAGGGGGTTGGAGGGACCCCTTAAACCCAGTCAGCCCCTAGAAAAAAAAAGTATAGAGAAAACCTCCACTATCCCACTTTGAGTTGAGTGGTTCCTGCTGCTGCTTAATTTTGCAGCACCTCCTGTGCTTAAGTAAACTTTTCCATGGGTGTGTGGGTGGCCCAAAGGCGGAGGGGGATTTGAGGCAAGGCTGGGCGGCGGTAGGAGTCGGCTGGCCAGCGATAAGCAGGCCGCTCTCTGCACAATTTTTGTTTGCCCCATTCGATTAAACTAAACATAAATTTCATGGACGATAAATCAGCCGTGAGCGTTGGGACAGTTGCACCTGCAGCTTGCAACCTGCAGCTCCTGGCCTTTCCTGCCCCTCGAAAATTTGGTGGTGGGGGGGATGAAACGTAACCCCTACCCTCTGGCACGTGTGGGAAATCAAAGGAGTGCAGCCAGACGACCAGAAAGAGATGCCACATTAGTCTCTCTCTCTGTGTAGTAGAAGCATCCTCGCCAGGCTAACTAAATTAATTTCCTCTTTCAACTAAATGCATTAAATAATGCCCTATAATCTTTAGCCCCTTTCACAGGGACACCCCTGCCTTCGACACGCCAAAATCAAATGGCAACGCGAAATTGAAAGAACAATTTCTGAAATGATTTTTGGCTGGGTCGCAGCTGCCACTGTCGGTTCGTGTCGGATATAAACAAAATTCCAAAGTGGCAACCAAGCTGCCAGACACAAGTTGAATGCCCCACAGTACGTTATGGCAGTGTAAGGCTAAGTTTTAGGTTAAAAAATTAGTTGGGAGGTTGTGGTGTAAAAATTAAGTTTTAATTTTCAAATTTTTAAGTTTTACAGATTAATATTATTTTATGTTGACGGCAATTCTTTATAGTTATTATAATTTTTATATTTTATATTATTATTTAAGCATTTAAAATAGGTTTCTGTTGTTAACAGAGAAGTTTGAGAAGTTGCAGACATTACAGAACGAAGGATTAAGGATTTTCCACAATCTTCTTTTTTCAGCGACTTTGGGCAAAATAAGTTCTGGGCTTAGAACCTTTATAAAAACCTTCTTTAAATATTATATACCCTTAAAATTAAGAAGCCCTTACCTTACTAAGATGATAATATTCATAAGGACACATTTTTATAGTAAAAATCTAATTTTAAATTCATTTCATAGCCTTAACTTAGGGAAAATCCATTTGCGACAGAAAAGCTGCCGTTTTATCAATCAAATTCTTTACCATTTTTGGTTTTCAAACTTCATAGAGGATTTCCCAATGTATTGCCCTATCAATGGCCACATATTAAGGGTTTTTTAGAACCTGTGTGAAACCCAAAAGTGCTTCGAGTTGCCCAGGAAATTATGACTCTGTGCTGCCTTCGCTTAGTATAACTCTTTGGCGCTAAACTATAAATATACAAAAATAGAAAAAAAGAATAGTTGCTTCTTTTAGGGCAGCTTACCTGCTCTTACTTGGATTTTACTACTGGTCTGGCCCACCAGTCGGCTACGTAATGTGGCACGTAGCTACGTGGCAGGGGAATGGATCTTCGGTCATCGAGCTGGGGTTGGTAGGGGGTGTAAGAGGGGGCTCTAAGGGGAAGGGGGGTGAGTGGTGTTCCAAAGTTTGTTAGCTCCTGTGCAATGGCTTTTAACAACAACAACAACAACAACAACAACACAGCCCTCTGTCTCTGTGCTTGTGTCTCTGGGAGTGTGTGTGTTAATGCTAAATTAAGTTGCTGCACGTCGGAACACATATACGTTGTTGGTGCCCGGAGTGTATGTGTGTGTATGGGTATTTTCGGGAAAATGGGAAAATCGGTGGGTGGCTATGGCTTGTATGCTCGACCGCCGGCAGGCTGTAATCCCGAAAACATTAAACTGGCCGCGTCAGGACATTGATTTTCGCTTTTGCCCAATATTTAGCCAGCTCTGTGTCTTATCTGTGCATGGTAAGCTCCTCCGCTTCCACATATATATATATATATATTGGATTTTATATATATATATATATACGGCTGCTGCTTCTTTACCATCTCCATTCTGCTTTTGTGCAAATGAAAATTCAATTTGAAATGGAAATTATACTTTTTCTTCACTTATTTTCGCATTGTTGTACTTGCTGCTGCTTGTTTGTTATTCTCTCCCAGCCATTGGCCATGTTTTTTGGCCTTACTTCAGATTTTCAATGTGTGTGTGTTGCATTTGAAAATCGTTTCGATTTGGCAATTTTGCATGTGTATGTGAGTGTGTTGGGCAGACTTCAAAATAGCAGATGGAAATATGATTGCAAGCAGTTTTACACGATGAAAAAATGTTAGGAAATATGTAAAATTACGGGGAATTCTCTGTGATATTTATAATTTGTATTACTATGAAAGGCTCATTTAAGTTTTTTGGTTAAATAAATACACATTCCGTAAAGATTTGACTAGAATATGTACCATCTAAACAGCCATTGCTTATCCAAAGGGGATTTATATTTACAAATTTAAGCTTAACATGATCTTAAAGTTAAGAAATTACTGTAAGCTACTTTAAAGTTGTTAGTTCTATCATTAAAAAATCTAGCTAGAATACTTTTCAGAACTTTCCTTTATATGAACTAACATTTCTTCGATGTGCATCTTGCCATCTCTTGATTTCTTTTACTTTCTGTATAAAAGTGTAGCATAGTTTTCGGGTCTTCGAAAAGTTTACCTCAATGTGGCAGCGATTGAATTGTTGGCCAAACAATGTCCAGAAATTCCACTTCACTGTGGAAATTGTTTATTTATTGAGTTAATCAGGGAGTTATAAGAGGGGGGGAAAGCGTAAAGG